TATAATAATTGAAATGTTACTGTATTTTACAAAATACTAGTCGACAAAAACACAGCCAAGACAATTTACTTTGTAAAGACTAAATGTCAGTTTTCTGTTATTGGATAATGTAAGTGCACATGCACTGTGTCATATTAACTTCTGTATTGTTAGCCAGGCATGGCTGAAAGGTCAATATAATAAAAATAATATCTATATATATATATAAATGTATAATGTTATGAAATTTAAGCTATTTAGTCTAAACATTTATGGTTTCGTGTTATAATCTGTGTTCATTCTAGAACAAAAAAGTATAATTTATATTTATTTCCTAATTTTTTAAGATGGTTGCGATTTTGGTCAAATCGACCAAACCCGTACAGAGATTCGTTACCGAAAATAACAGATAAAATATTTGATAATTATCTGGACATTATAAAGATTTTGCATGTGAATGTTGAAAATTTTCTGATGCACAAAAGTATTTTTAATCTTAAAATGCAAATTACTTTGCATGATAGACAGGCAACATGTGAAAAGAAAAAGGCATGAGAAAAACATTGCTTTACAAACCTTAAGACTTAATAAATAAAATATGATATTTTGCAAAAGAAATCATTGTAATGTTTACTGATAATCTGCCAAATTTTGTTAACATAACTTACTAATTTAAAATTTACAGCATGAAAACTATAACAAGCACAAAATGATTACGAGGTCGGTCCTAGGGACGGAGCCCATGCTGAAAGAGGTAAACTCATCCCACAAGTTCAAACATCCAATCTGCTCATCCTTACATATTAACCTAGCATTTAGCCCTAATGAACTACTTATAATTTCATCCCCACAGTTAATTCTTGGCAGTACTCCAGACACAATTAAATTATTGCCCTTTTCTTTAAATATCTTTATCAACCCCTCGTACTTATCAATTAGCTCCTCTGACCTACCTTTCCCTACATCATTAGCTCCTACATGCACAACAAAAACTGCACCTCTGTTAGCTCCCCTTATTTTTTATGTCTCTTATATCTCTGTTATATCCTCCACCAGTGCCTCTGGGTAGCATAATCTAATAATTTTCTCACTATTTACCCCACAGACTTATTCACATTCCTTATCAAGAAATGACCTATAACTATAACCTTCCTAAGTTTATCATCCACATCCTCCTCTATCCCCTTTGTTTTCCTTCCCTCCAATAGTTTCTCCTCTGTACAAATCAAGGGCAGAAATCTATTGCTCAATAGAACATGTTTATTACAATTAAATTCACTATTTTTAGCTCTAATAGTATTGTTTCTAACTTCCTAAAAGTCAATGTTAGCTGACGTATCCCTTGCATACAACTCTCCATACAAATTAGAGGCAAGAAGATTTTATTACAAGTCTCTCCTGTATTCCACATCTCCACATGCTACTACACTGAACAGTATTTCACTGAATAAACAAGTCCAATTTGTTGATTACACGTTTATCATTAAGGTCCTTGAAACTGTCATTAATCAACACTTGAATAACAACAAACTAATGTACTAACTCATAAACAAAAAATCTAACCTGTCAGACAAGATTAAATATTCTTAGTCAGAATAAACATTAATACAAGGAAAATATTTTAATACGTATACATAATTGAAGCAGAAACGTGTGTGTATGTGTACGTTTCATACAATTTAATATCAATAACGTTATCAATGACATATTATAACAGCTGTAAAAAGTTTATAACCAACTCAGCAAAACTAATTTTGACAGAATTTTTTAAAATGGAAATATTAAAGAAGACTGTCTTTCAACTCTTCCGAGTACTTTAATTATATAACACATTTCAATTTTAAGGTTACAGAAGGCAATTAAGATCCTAAAAGTAAAGAAGAAACATCTCCACAGGTTCGTGACATTCTTAATGTGTGTGTTATTAGGGAAGGATGAAGTAAACCACTATGTAACTATTAAGTAAAAGGAAAGAGGGATTCCTACTTATACAGTGGTATAGGAGTTTAATGTGTGTGTTATTAGGGAAGGATGAAGTAAACCACTATGTAACTATTAAGTAAAAGGAAAGATGGATTCCTACTTATACAGTGGTATAGGAGTTTAATGTGTGTGTTATTAGGGAAGGATGAAGTAAACCACTATGTAACTATTAAGTGAAAGGAAAGATGGATTGTAATGTGTGTGTTATTAGGGAAGGATGAAGTAAACCACTATGTAACTATTAAGTGAAAGGAAAGATGCATTGTAATGTGTGTGTTATCAGGGAAGGATGAAGTAAACCACTATGTAACTATTAAGTAAAAGGAAAGATGGGTTCCTATTTATACAGTGGTATAGGAGTTAAAAGAGATGGATTCCTACTTATACAGTGGTATAGGGGTTAAAAGAGATGGATTCCTACTTATACCATAGTAAAGGGGTTAAAAGAGATGGATTCCTACTTATACAGTGGTAAAGGGGTTAAAAGAGATGGATTCCTACATATAAGAGTCATCTAACAACAACAAAAAAATTAAAGTTTTGTAATTTATTTGACTTTTTTGTGGTCTTGTGAAGTTAACCGTCACTTCTGATGATCACCTAACCTCAAATTGTTAAGTATATCAAAAATAATCTCCAAAAATATTGTTCACAATAGTTCTGTCAAAAAATTATAATAGACTTTATAGCAAAGTTTCATAAAGTGTATTCTTTTTTTTCTTTCATGATTCCTGTTTTTTTATATTTTAAGAGCATAAAATAAGAAATTCTAGAACATACCAGTGTTTCCTGAAGTTGGTTCAATCAATACTGATCCAGGTTTGAGCCGACCTAATCGCTCAGCCTCCTCAACCATTCTTAATCCTATCCTGTCTTTTACACTTCCGCCTGCATTAAAGAACTCGCACTTTACCACTGGAAAAACAAAACAAATTAGGTAACAATTTACCACCTTACATAAAAGTTTTGCTTTTTCACAACTTACAAATATAATACGTGTTTATAAAACATTTTATTATGACCTAAAGAAAAGGCAATAAATTAACAAATACGGATTACCAATACCAAGTTTTAAACCCATGACCGCAATCTATTTATTATGAAATTTTGTACACCTGAATTTAAACATTTTTTGGACAACTAATTTTCTTTGTTAAATTTGAAATTATTTTACTCGGAGCATAATAAAATTAATACATTTATTAAATAACATGGTTAGATACATTTCATATCTAGTGAGTACTTTAATTATAAAATTCCAAGGAGTTTAAATATGTATAATAGTAAAGTTAGGATATGCATATCGAGAATGTAATGTAATATATATAATGTAAATACTGTTGTATTGTTTGTTGTGTTCTTTAAGATTATTCAGTAAATATACAGTGAAAGCCAGTCCATGTAATGGTAATGAAGTACGTAATTCCTTCTTTAATGTTTGCTACAGGCTACATTCACTTTGACACAAGTTGTACGTCTATGTTCAGTGATGTTTTTACTTTTAACAGAGACTGCAGTATTAATGTTACCTATGTCTAACTAACAAATATAAAACTTATAAGATTTCTTTGCTAATGAATTGAGTGACGGAACAGACATGATAGTTCACAGACTAACATTGAACTGAAATACTCATTGAATTATCAATAATTTGTTATTCCTTACTTATTTTTCATCACTAACTGGTTACTTTTTTTAAAAAAATAATGTACTCCTGTCTCAAGATACTACCCAAAATTACTAGGTTCTTGATGTCATTGAATTTATTAGTTCTCTCTAGCATACATATAAATTAAAACATTAAAAGTATACCTCACATTACAAACATGAGTTCCTTAGTTGACAAAACACCAGTAATGAATCTAGGAAGAAACAAGATGTAACCTAAGAAAGACAGTTGTTACTTTAAATAAACATTATCGAAGTCTTCAATGTAGGAAGTGCTATAGTATACTGGACATGATGAAAGAGTTCGAGATAGGTACCAGTTTGACAGGTACTTTACATAAAATAAATACAGAAAATAACATTAAAATGTTTTGAATAAACATTTCCATGATCCAAAACATTTGGTTAGAGCTGTAACATTACAGCACATGCGTAACAATGTTCATGATGGATATTAAGTAATTTGGAAAGAGAAGAACCACAGCTGGTGAAACAGTTGTTTAATTGGTACAAGTGCACAGAACCACTACTTGTGAAATGGTAGTATAACTGCTACATGTGCATACAACAACATTTTTTAGAAAGCAACAGTGAATCGACACAGTCAACAGTACTAGTCAGTTAGTTAGCAGTCTTCTTCATGAAACTTCATTTGCAATGTTCTTTAATATACAAACTTAGTTAGCCCAAGTAATTAGAATATATCAAAGTAAAAGTTAGGTCGGAACTTGGAAAAACATACAAGATTTTTTCCCTTATTTATAAAGTTTTATATGCTCATAGGTTAATGTGACACTTTTAAAATTAATCTATTATGTTACAAGATTCTGTCTTTTATACAGGGCTTTTAAAACTTCACAGGTTAATTTCTAAGGTTAATATATGCTGTTACTGGTTTCTGTCTTTATTTATAAACAGGGTTTTTAAACTTGATGACAAATTCACTGTATGTGAATAGACATTACATATTTTTACAACCTGTAATCAAGTTTTTATACATATATACTTACAGACTTCACATTTTAGTCCATGATCAGATGGAATCTTGTTTAGTCGGATCATTGGAGTATTTCCAATATGATGAAGAATACTGGGCAATATTTTTGGTGTAGGTTCTCTAAAAAAATATACAACAAAAAGAGTAGAACAAAATACTGAATTTTACTTACAGTAGTACTCAAGTTGTTTCTGATAAAGATTTACACAAACAGTTGTAGTAGGATTATAAGTATATGAACAGAGTAGAAAGTGCTAAAATGCAAATACTGAAAAAAAAAAGTTCTTTTAAACCCATTTTTGTTCATATGTGATTTAAAACAGCACTATAAAACAATAACGAACTTAATACAAAACAAAATTAACATGGTAACAGAGGAATAATTTTGAATTGTCGTCACATTATAATGTTGTTTGTGTATTGTATATAAGATTTATCATTAATTAATTAGATAATGAGTTAAATGGTGTCTCGAAACGAATTTTTTAAAATAAGTTGCTTTTAATTTAAGATAGGCATAAAACGAGGAAAAGGATAACAGAGAAGATCAAACTTAATTAGTTTATTGGGAGAGAAAAATGAAGGTTAAATGCCATAAGTTTAAGATGTTTAAATCAAAAGATGGGATAAAAGATTTACAGAACTAAGGGAAAGCTTCAGATTTGGTTAAAAAAATTAGGAAATTGAAAAGGAGTTACGAGAAAAGAACTAACAAATTATAGTTGAAAATTTCTTTATGTTATAGGCAATCAAAGTGTTCAAATGGGCCCTTAAAGGATGCTGATGGTAAGGTTTTGTTGAAGACTATGAGATAGATGGCTGGGCCCTTAAAGGATGCTGATGGCAAGGTTTTATTGAAGACTATGAGATAGATGGCTGGGCCCTTAAAGGATGCTGATGGCAAGGTTTTATTGAAGACTATGAGATAGATGGCTGGGCCCTTAAAGGATGCTGATGGCAAGGTTTTGTTGAAGACTATGAGGTAAATGGCTGGGCCCTTAAAGGATGCTGATGGCAAGGTTTTGTTGAAGACTATGAGATAGATGGCTGGGCCCTTAAAGGATGCTGATGGCAAGGTTTTGTTGAAGACTATGAGATAGATGACTGGGCCCTTAAAGGATGCTGATGGCAAGGTTTTGTTGAAGACTATGAGATAGATGGCTGGGCCCTTAAAGAAATCTGATGGTAAGGTTTGGTTGAAGACTATGAGATAAATGGCTGGACCCTTAAAAAATGCTGATGGCAAGGTTTTGTTGAAGACAAAGATGTCTGAGCCTTATAGGCTCACCTGTCTTTACAAAAGAGAATGTTAGCAATATCTCAGACCCTAAGCTTTCTATGGGAAATATTGGGATTGACCTGAATAAGTAGATATTAATCCCTTGGTGATAAATAGAAACACTGAGATAATAAAAACAGACAAAGTGCCACTACCAGATAATGTTTTCGCTATCATTTCGAAGGAAGTCATGGACGAGATATGTAAGCTTCTCTCATTATTGGTAGGTCAGTGGGCAGCTACTTGAGGATTGGAAAACTTCTGTCGTTACTCCTATTTTTAAAGAGGGTGGTAAAAGTGGTCATAGAAATTACAGACCATTTAGTCTTACTTTTGAGTGGGAAAAATTCTAGAGTTTGATTAAAGATTTACAAATTGTTTAGTGAAATATATCATAAATAACAGCCAAGATGGATTCACCAAAGGGAAATCTTACCTTACAAATTTACCATCTTTTCTCAATAATGTTAATTGCAGTCTGAACAATGGAAAGGGTGTGGTCTTGGGGTACTTAAATTTTCAAAAAACTTTTGATAAGGTACCACACAAAAGATTAGCTAACGAACTGAAATTGTTAGGATTTGGGGAAAGACTACATGACTGTGGGTGGTTTGATGAGAGAAAACAAAACAGTTATTATTAGCAAAGTCAAAGTAAACCCTTGTTACTGATTCAGTGTCTCAGGAGTCAGTGCTTGAGCCTTGACTATTATTTTTTCTTCGACAGGGTATAATTGTAAATTAGTAAAGTTAGTGGATGACATTAGACTCTTGGATATTTCTAGCTGTATTGAAGACATTAAGATACTATAGAACCACTTCAATCAATTCTTTGGTTGGAAAAACATTTGGTAAATGACCTTTAAATAAAACAAACACAAGATAATGTATTTGGGTTATTATGATTTGGATCTCGTTATAATATAGATGGGAACCCACTCAATAGCATGAATGAAGAAAAGGATATTACCATAATGATGTACAAGAGACTCAATCCCAAGCCACTAAAGCAGTGCTGTGCTCTGTTGCTAGTAGCTTTATCCTGAAGACAAGAGAATACAAGTTTAAGATTTGGGAAAGACAGATGAGGCTCCATTTAAGACAGTTTTTTTATTTCCAACAAGTTCACTGGCTTATGGAATGAGCTGCCATTTTTTTTTTGCAATCAGGAAATTGATAATTTCATGAAGAATGAAAGGTGAGTATAATTTTTTTAGTTTTCTCAATGATACATGTGTAGAGACAGTCTTGAAAAAAAAAAAAAGGTCCCTTCTTGTCTGTATGTTATATTACAAGTAGCAGACACAGTCTTCATTATTACTTTAAATATTCAAGTCTTCATCAATTTCCTAATTAAAATTCAAACTTCAGTCTTAATTTGGAATGAAAATGCTGGTTGTTCAGACAAAATCTGAAAATTATTTTGGTAAATTTTCTTTTAAGTATTCTTTAAATCAATATTAATGAATTTGTAGTTAACTTTAACAATAGACTTATAAAGTTTGTTATTTTATATCAGCCCCTAATAACTGAAATTTTTATTCGACCTTTAGAATTTGTTTTCTCAAAAATTACAAAGCAGCTTGAATAAGAAACTACCATTCTTAATTTAGACTTTTTAACGAAGTTAGGATCAGTGCCCTTAAATACCTGAAAACTGATATATGTCTGTTATGACAATAAGTTGACAACCAGGACCGATATCGGTACTTATATATATATAGACACACACACACACATGCAATATAGATATATATAAATTTTATATCTACATGTACAATATTAGATTTTAAATTGTTGTAATATGAATAGCAAAAGAAATTATACTTACATTTCAACATGACGGTGAGGTGAGGTTGCAGGATCAATACCCAAATGCCAGGTACATTTGCTTGGTAAGTCAGGGCGAACTAAGTTTACAAAGTCGATGCTTCTACTTCTTGACTTGGTTGGTGATGGTGGCATTTCGTCAGAGCTGTCTGATGCGTTTTCTGAAAGATGGAAAATATTACCTTTGCTGGAAACTAAAAATTTCAATCTTCAGCAGTTTTAAAAGCGCACATTACCAACTGCCCGACACGGCCAGGTGGTTAGGGCACTCAACTCGCAATCTGAGGGTCGCGGGTTCGAATCCCCGTTCCACCAAACATGCTCGCCCTTTCAGCCATGGGGGTATTATAATGTGACAGTCAATCCCACTATTCGTTGGTAAAAGAGTAGCCTAAGAGTTGGCGGTGGGTGATGATGACTAGCTGCCTTCTCTCTAGTCTTACACTGCTAAATTAGGGATGGCTAGTGCAGATAACCCCCCAGTAGCTTTGTGCAAAATTCGAAACAAACAAACAAACATTACCAACTGTAATATTGACACATTTTTGGGGGAAATATCATTAAAAGAATTTTATGATTCCATATTCATAAAAAAATACAAAATTTTCTAGTTTCCTTACCACCTTTTAAGAGCTTGCAAAACTTTAAAAAATTCTTGTCAAATATCAGCACTTTGAATGCACACACTAGTGTTTTGCCCTGCAATGTACAGTCATCATACGTACAAATAATAACAGCAATTTAGAACAACCACTTAATAAAAAGGCAGTATTATCAATTTTTTCTATTAAATCCTTTGTGCAGAGGTGGGGTCAAAGTGTACATGCCATGACCTTGTACAAAGTGCCTTTCAACATGACATTTTGTATTTTACATCAACTATTCATTTTATCTTACACTGCTGATTTAACGACAGTCCATGGCAGGAGAGAGCAAATACCAGATATTATATATAAGAATAATGAAAAAACTGTAAGTATGTATTTCAGAGGTTCTAAAGTTTATGCAAATTCAATATGCAAACTGTACAACGGACAAACATGCGTTATTAGTCTTCATATGAACACCACTTTGCATTTTGAGTTGTCAAAGTGGAAGTCAGACTGATATCTTCAATTCAAATACTTTTGTAACATCTGATTTTATGTGTAGAACAAGCTTGTACTTTTTACTAAAAGATTGCCACATTTTGTGTAGATACATGCAATAAATTTAGAATCATAGACAACATTGGACTGACCCATGCACATTGCTAATAAGCAGTTTAATTGTTACACTTCTTTTCAATGCTATAAGATGTACGCACTATTATTGATATATACACCAGAGAAAAGGTTACAGGTAACAAGTGGTAGCATGTAACAGAAAGAATAACACAAATTGAATATCAAATGAATTGTAGATACAATAAGGAGTTTAATTTCAAGAAATTATGAAACCAGTACCTCAAGATATTTAAAATTAACTATGTCCAACTGTATAGGCTATATATAATGTTATTAATACACAATATTTTAACACCAATACCAAAGCTTTGTATTACTTAAATAAATGCTAATGTCAGCTTATTCTTCAAGTTCAAAATTTTATGTTGATAAATGAAGACACAATTTTACTCAGTCTTTTTTATTTTTAGTACTTGCACATCCCATGTACTTACAAAAAAAAAAAAAAGAAGGATTTAAAATAACTATACAATCAATAAATTCTGACACACTAATTAGAATTAACCTTCAACCAAACCATTGGTAAACATATGCTGCTTCAGTTACAGTATTACCACTTAAATGGCATTGAATTTCTAAAACCAGAACGATGACTTGCAATAACTTAGTTTTAGTTTAAATCTCCGTTAACAAAAAAAAAGTCTGAAACTACTGATGTATTGTAGGTAAATGCACTGGCTGTATAAAATACGTGAATCTATTCATATATAATACATTTCAGTTTCTAGTTACATCAACCATTCTTCTACGTGAATGGTATCCAGATTTTATGCAATTGTCAACATTAAACAGCTTATTTCAATACTAAGTTACTTAGTTTGAGTTTTACTGTTAATGAAGAAACAAATACGTTTGGTGATTACCGATAAAAAAATGTGGCACTGGTACTGCGGTATAAATTATAAGTAATATTTGAAATCGTCAGTACTTTGTGTGAAACTCCTTAATTCATTAATTGCCAAACTGAGGAAAACAAAGCCAATTGTAACATATAAAGCTAACGTATCAGTATTATTCAAATACTTAAAATTATCAAAATTGCATTACCTTGATTTGTGCTCATCTTTCTTAGAATACAAGTTAGCGTTCGACACACAGAGAGTTAGGTTTCAATTTATAGATGTAGTGGTGTTATCGTGAATACGTTACTTTCCGCTTGGTATACTACTGTAACTGTAAGCTCCTAGACTGTCTATATTTCTACAGCATATACATATAATACAGCTTAGCTAACATCCATACTTATACTGTTACACCACCATATGTCCCGGAAAAACTCAGAACCAGCTGTATATGTTTAATCAACGCAGGAACTTCGATAAAGTGCTCTTATTGGCAATATATGTAGCCAAACACGGAGTGTTTAAAATACGAAGATCAACATTATCAGTAGGCTGTAGGTTGTAAAGTTGAGGAGTTAAACTTGTTCATTGATTATTTTTGTGCGTTTTCGAGATAAAACAAAATAGAAAGGCATAAAGTTAATAGCTTTAGTAAGATAATAAAGTATTGATAAAATAGTTCAATATATTTGAATATAATGTTAGGCTAAACAGTATTGTTAATAGGATAATTGAACTCAACTGGAAATCTGAGGGTCGCGGGTTCGAATCCCTGTCCCACCAAACATGCTCGCCCTTTCAGCCGTGGTGGCGTTATATAGTGACGGTCAATCCCACTATTCGTTGGTAAAAGAGTAGCCCAAGAGTTGGCGGTGGGTGGTGATGACTAGCTGCCTTCCCTCTAGAATTACACTGCTACATTAGGGACGGCTAGCACAGATATCCCTCGTGTAGCTTTGCGCGAAATTCACACCAAACGTAATTAGCGTTTATTGATGTACTTTCACAAGGTCCCCGAAAGTGTTCTGTTTGAAGAGTAAATAAAACTAAAATTAAGAGTACAAATATTCTATTTCTTGCTTTTGAAGTTCATATGTCATGCTGTGTTGTAGCCTACAGGGTGCATAATTCTTCTCGTGATTCATGGCTTGCGCACGTTTTAGTGACATCACGACAGTACAAATACACAAGGACAAGGCTCGAAGGCCATCTTGGCCGCGTTTATTTTGACTAGTAAATAAACTAAAACGTGGCTTTTAAATAATAGATTGAACAATCGCCAAGTTTTTTATATTTTCATTTAAAGAAGGATGACGTTTAGAGCTAGCGCTCTTCGTCAGATCATACAGTTTACAAGTAAGGCGCATGCGCAGAATCCAAAGAACTTGCGTGCGTAGTATTGGAATGTTGAGCGTGAAAATTCGAAGCAAAATTACATTTATTACATAAAAATTACAAGTCATAAAAAGATAAATAGCTAGCAATTAAAATTTAAACAAGATAACAATTAGAATTTAAACAAAAAATTGAAAAATAGAAATTTGCAGGAATGAAAAGCGTTCGATTTAACCAGATGAGAAAATCAGGATAGTGTCTTTTAGAAAATAAAAAAAAGTCTTCGTGTCATTGGATTTTGATTTATAATCATTATCACCAGTACATAGTCGTAGTAATTTTGAGAAATTCTCTCATCCACGATACAGCCATCAAAGCTAGTTCATATACCCAGGATCAAACACTCAACCCTACCAAGAAAGAACACACTTGATCGTATTCCACTTGGGCTAACATACCACCAGACCAACAAGAAGATCAAAGATATTATACTAAACATTTACACAATACTTACTGAAGACTAACTCTTTTTTTTCTAGGACCCACCCATTATTTCTTATAAACATGACAAAAACATGGTGCACAGTAACCTTAAACAAAAATAAAATGCTACTCCAGGCATTCACACACATGTAAAAGAAACAGGTGTGTTACCTGCCCACATATAAATATCACTGCACACATACGAGGAAAGAACACAACTTTCAACATAAGACAGTCCTTTACAGGTACCACTGAATGCATCATTTACTCTATAATTTGCAATAGATGAAATAGTTTATACTGTTGCGTCAGCGAAGTCACGTGACTAGTGTCACGCACGTTTTCTAGAGATATCCTGTTCCTTCGTGAATGCCCTAGCATTTACTAGATTGGGGGTAGGCTGATATATATAAGATGGTAACAACGTGACGGAACAATGTGTAGGTAGTGAATAATTGATCTGCAGTCAGAGAGTA